AATAAACTCAATTCAAATGGGAATTATTAGAACAAAAAGTTTGATTTACAGTTGTTAAATGAAAGGCCAACTCACATACAAGCTCTTACCAATGAAAATATTCTTGATCAAATATTTGACACTAATAACACCATTAGAAATATTTTGCTGTTAGTCAAAATTGTAGTGATCATCTGCTAGTTTGTCTCTGTCAAAAAAAACATATTCCAAACTAATTAATATGCTTTTTTAATACACTAATTAAATATAATCTTTCTAAATTTCATAGCCTCATGGTTATTGTGCTTAACTCACAATTTAAGGATTCAAATCCCATCACCAAAAATGTTTGCCATTTCAGCTGTTGGTGCATTTTAATGTGGTGATCAATCCCACTTTTCACTGATAAAAAGTAGACCAATAGTTGGCAGTGTTGACTAGCTGCCTGTCCTCTAGTCTATCACTTCCAAAGTAGGTACAGTAAGCTCAAATAGCTCTCATGTAGCTTTGAGTGAAATTCATAAAGCAGGCATATAATTTTCACTTTACACATACTAATGATGAACCTGAATAATTACAGAAATGAAAATTCAATAAACTGAATAAACAACTGAAGAAAAAAAAATAGATGTAAGTAAAATTTACAAGGAAATGAGTGATATATACTTTATAAAGGAATTAAGTATGCATGCAAAAGCTTTTTTTATATGTAAATACAGAACTCTACAGTCTTGTTCATTCAAATGAAGGTAAATATGTCATCAAAAAGAAACTAATACTGATTATCCAAAAGTTGTGAATAAATAAAGCTAAAACATGAACATAAAATGATATAATTAATTCTATAATAGATTTGAATTAACTTCCCAGTCATTATTATTATTGATAACTTAAAAGAAATGACCTCCTTTAATGAAATTAAAAATAATTTCACTAGGGTAAAAGATTCTATAAAAGAAGTCAAGAATACTGGCCTTGGAAGGGATAGATTTCAATGTAATATGCATTGTGTACAGGTATATTTTAACACTTTAGCTAATATATTTTCTCTCTTGGTTCAGATTTTACATTACAACAATTTTATAAAATACTAAATTTCTTTGACCCTCAAATCAGATATTCAAAATTTATTGAGGTATAACCCTAGTACTTTAATTGATTAATTAGTTATACAGTCAAAATCTATAAAGAAATTAATAACAAAACAATATAATTTTTTTTGTACTGATAATCTATTGATGTTTAATTGCAGCTCTAATTTTCTGGCCATTGGGGTCAAATAGGTTTACATAGTTTGTTTAGAAAAAAAGTAAAACAGTATTTTCTTTTTCAGTCCCTGAAAAAGTGGTCATACATCCACATTTACCAAGTGCTGCCACAAACAGATATTTCTCATATGTTGATCAACAAGACAGTGTGGCCAACTAAACCATTTTTTGGATGAAAGGCTAATGACTCATCTGCATAAAATTTCTTTGGATCTTCAGTCTCTCTGCTTGTTGCATATATACTTTCACCATTTTTCACCCTTGCCATATATATTCTGCTTATCTTGAACAGTCACACCACATTACATTTTAATTTTTTATTCTTTTTCTAGAGATTGATAAAAAAAATAAACTGTTAGACATAATATAGGCTTAAGTCACTTCAAGTAGAATAAGTTGATAGAAAGAAAAAGAAAAAAAACTGCATAAACAAGTCTATTTAACCCTGCATTAGTACCCTTGCTGTATCGAACAACCTTTGTACCATAGGTTTCTGCCACACCCCACACCAAAAAAAAAAGAATTAACTTATGTTACATTGTTAATCTCTCTTTGTATGCACTTAAAGTAAACATCTAGCGAATGATTCTAGAGAATATTGTTAATTTTACTTTTTGGTAGTGTTGATAAAGGAATAATAGAAAATATAAGATAATGATGTTTCTATCACTTTATTTCAAAAAAATACATGATTAAAAAAGGTAAATTTTTTTTTTTTTTTATCTAAGCATCTTCCTATGAATTATTTTGAACTGAAAATATCATTGAATGTGTGATATCAATGAAAACTATAAATAACAGAGAAATAGTTAATCTGGAAAAACATGCCTTAGTTTAGTACCGTGGGGTATTTATTTAGTCCCCAAGCCACAAGAAACCTAGCTTCGCAAGGATAGAAATGGTAGAAACTATGTGTGTATTCTATCAGCAGTTTTAGGAAGCTACTAGGAACAGCAAAGACCTGAGTGCTTCCATCTGTTTGTGAGATTGTTTACAAAATGTTTAGGGTAGAAAAAAAACCCATGGTATGAACATAGTGTTAATTGAGGTGTTTGAAAACAAAAATTTTTGATAGCTTTCAAAAAATAACAGCACACACTTGGCCATTAGATACAGTCACATGGAGATTTATGAGACAGCATATTACTGAACAATACTTCTTGACCAACTTTGGTGGCCAGCATTAGGTCCACCAGTAGTAGTACTCATGATTTAAGTAACATCTCCAAACTCTATAAACATTTGTTACATGTTACTGTGACTGTTTAAAATCAAATGAATTTACTTTGAAACTTTATATAGCGATGCAAAAGCAACTAATAAATCTAGTCAACAGGCACCACTAGTAGTTTTCTGTCTGATTAAAAAATGAAGATATCATGTCATGTTTTAGATAAAAAATATTTTTCAAATTGTAAAAGGAAATACAACACCATTTCTTCCATTAATAAGAGGAGCTTGTTTGAAAACTTTGCACAATAATATTATTTGAAAATATATATTTGGCTAAGAGGTAGAGTAAGATATTAGGAATAAGTATATTTGATCCCACCCTATCCTCTTCTCAAACTGCTTTGAAGAAATTCCAGATGTTAAGCCATGCAATCATGATGTGATATAAAATCTCACTCTGGTTACACAATACAAATATATAAATTAGAAAAACAAATGTAACTTTCAACAACTTCAAATTCCTAATAATTTTATAAAATTAACAGAATCAATAATTTAGTTTTCAATGTTCAAATTACAGCTGCTTTATTTCTAAATACAGAAAAGGCTTTTGATACAGCTTAGCACAATATATTGCATTCAGATATCAACGTGGTGTTTTTACAGCCTTACATTTTAACTATATGGATTAAAATATTATTATTATTATATTGAAATTATTATCAAAGTAAATACTTGTCTATGTGATAAATTTATACCTATTTCTGGTGTTCTACAAGGACCAATGTTACATACAAAGCCTTATAAGTAACCAATATTCCCTGCCTATACAATAAATCCAATTCTAATTTCATCAATATTGTCCAATCTCCAGTGATACTTCTCTAATATATGAAGATAAAATTTAACAACATACAGAAAACAAGGGACCATTTAGTTCTTGAAGGCTGTCTCCACACATCCACCTCTGTGAAAAAGTAAAATTAAACCAACTCTTTATAAACTCAGTAAATCCTCAATTCCCCTTTTAACTTTTTTATAGTACTAGCCTCCACTGCTTCTGATAGCTTTAATTAACTAAGATCTTTGGTGTTATCTCTGGCAAGTTAAGTATAACCAAAACTTAGGTTTATAAAGTTTTATAAGTACATTTATAGGAAAGAGAATACTTTAAATCAACTGACAAATCTGTTACTCTTAAATTACTTTAAAAATGGTCAGATACTCAGATGTTATTTTTTAAGTTGTGTTGGAAAGTGTATGTTATTAATCTTACCAAAATTCTAAGAAAAGATGAGGTACATTAAATTCATATGATTGCCTTCGTTTCTGGCATATTTTATATTACTTTATCAAGTATATAAATCTATACAAAGAACATGATATATATTGAAAAACAACTTGGCTGAAAAATGTGTAAACAAAAATAAAGCAGCTGAAAAATATGAACTCAAAGTCAGAAGAAACCCACATGCAATTATAATATCTCCAAACTTAATAGATGCTAATTAAATCAAACTATATCTGAGTATCAAATTTATGTCCTTTGTTGTTAATTTTACCTAATGTGCAACAAAAATGAGTGATATTTAATCAAAATCAGCATAGTTGTAAAAAAAAGGTGCAGACAAAATGCTGATGATTAAAATTTTATACAAGCTATTGTGACTAAGCATTCAAAATTTGTAAAACATGCATATCCACTACAAGAAATCACATGGGCCACTGTTTTTTGCCAGTGCTTAGCTAAATATAGAACAGCAGCCCATCTGATTTCTTGTAGTAGATATGCATACTCTAAAAATTTGAATGCTTACTCACAATATTTCACATAAAACTTAATCATCAATATTTTGGCCACAAACTTTGATTTCACATCTTTCTGTCACAATTTTTTTTCTTTGGCCACACATTTTCTTACAGCCATGCTGGTTTTGATTAGATCCTACTTACTCAGCAACTACTGATACTCATATGACTCCTTATTACCATTCGACCTAGGTGAAGTCATAACCTTGATATATAACCTGAACCACTATTACAGAATACTGCTGTTTAAATATTTGTGCAATAATCTCCACAGGCAGAACAGGTGTTATCTGCAGCAGCTTCTAATTAGCATTAATAATGTAAATTAAAGATTGCTACTCGGGTATTTTATGCCATACTTTTAATTGGTTTCTGTTATAGACTGTGAAAATAGAATTTATAAATTATGTTGTTTTTTTTAGAGCAAAGCCACATTGTGTTACCTGCTATGTCCACCGTGTGGAATTGAACCTCGGATTTTAGCATTGCAAGTCTGTAGACTTACCGTTGTTCCACTCGGGGACTATAAATTATAACATTTTGATTAAAGAAACATTTGTTGATTTAGCTGTGGCGTTTTTGTTTGACACTTCTATTATTAAGAGGCTGTTCTTTGTTGTTGTTGAAATCAGTGTTCAGTTATCTAAACATTTTTCAGCTCTACTCTTTTATGTTAACATACAGAATTATTTCAATATTATAAAAAAAACTTTGTGTAAAAATGTTTTGGTAATATTTTTTTAGTTATAGTAAATAAATAAAGAACCTTTAATACTATTCTAATGCCGTTTATTATCACACAAATACATAAACAATAACAAAATCAGTTTCATTATTTACTTAAGTCCTTACACTGTTAAAGACATTTAATACACAACAAAACATAACTAACTGAACTATAAAATTGATGTCGTACAGATTTGGTGTAGACATCTATTTCATGCGTAAGTTGTAACTGTTTGATCCTAGGTATATGCCAATTCCACTTGTCACCACACAATATACACAGTATATAATGGTAATGACTGTGGGGATAAAGGTGCAAGCAAACCCAAAAGATCTGTACATTGGAGATAAAAGATATCCAAAGAAAAAAGTAATCCGACCCACCACGAAGAAAAACACGAGTAGGGGAATAACTTTCATCTGTTCTTCGTTGATGTACGTACACAATACTAGTTGGCTAAAACTGCTAAGTAGAAACTGTTCCATTGTGTTCTGCAAACAGTTTTTGGTGACTTGCACTACGCGCTCGTGGCCTGCAAGTGGATTGATAGCTGAAGTAGAAAACCGTTGTAAGGCCACAACCGAGACACACACTACAACCGTCAACAGTTCAAATAACTGACATCGTAAAGTGAAGAGTACACGGTCGCTTAACAAGTGGAGATGTGGAAGCTGAACCTCCATATAATTAATGTAAGTATATGACACCAAAAATATGAAACCTACAGCAACACATATCCAAAATAACACAAGTATTCGTCCCTTCTTATTGGAAGCTGCTACTTCGGCTTCTTTAACCTGTTTTGCCATAACTGTAGTATTACTTATCCAAGACTTCAGTAGCTTAACAAAGTTTAAAAGTAAATTACTACGTCAACTTGCGTTATTCCTCAGAGTGGGTTTAATAACATTTGTTTTCATAGAGGGCGTTCGTCAGACCTGTTTATGAAGTTGCTCTTAAAATAAAAACGAATGAAAAGACTGTATAGATAAAAACGATTTTTATAGGGATAAAGAAGTAATATACACTAATACAACGTTTCACCAGTGTTTATCTGAGTTCTTCAGGGTCATAGAAAGACAATAGACACAAGAAACCTTCAAGCACATTAAGGAATAAAGTTCACGAATGACCAATCATTGTATTAAATATTTTTTTAAATATAGCAGTTGCTATCAAGGTATTTGTGAGGAAGGGTTTGCAAATTTATATATACACAGCCTATTTAAATTTTATTTTGTTGTCCTCTAGTTCGTTTTGCAAGATACAAGCATTATAGCAAAAATACTCTTTTATGTGAGTTGTTATTTCCCAAGCAGTTTTACTTATGTCGAATTTTGAACATTCAATACAGGCATATTTATATATTAGATCTGTGTATATGTCATCATTTCGTGCGTTTTTAGATACTATGCTTGAAATATGTCCACCAGGGTTAGATTGTATTCAAACCTTTGTATATCTGTATTATCCTTAATTTTAAATTGGCACTTCAATATAACATTACTGCGAAAATTTTCTTAGTCACATGTTTATCATAGAAAAGTCCTTGCCTGTAAACAGATTGTAGTATGAGTATAAGTTTTATCATGAAATTAATCACATCGCCAAATAATGTTTTAATAAACTTTGTAAAACACACTGAAAGATAATTAATCAGGTACCGATTACAAAATATATTTTTAATTATAAGTTTCTCTAGCTCAACTAAAAGTATATAAAGGTAGAATGCTATTCCATTATGGTGATATTGTATAGGTTGAGAATTATCTTACACAGTTGTCACTCTAGCATCAATTACATCAAGTACCGGCATATTAGTTTACAAAAAATACAAAATATAAAACGATCGACATCTTTATAAAGAAAACGATTTTTTCACAACTATTTTGCCTTACCAGTTACATTTGAAATTGTCCCCCACTGTACTTATAACTCTACTCATGGGTTCCACTCCCCGTTGTAAACAGAGCACAGGTAGCCTACTGTGTAACTTTGCACTAAAACAAAAGTAAAAGTTTTCAATTATAAAATTTTAAGTAAATCAATAACCAAATATCCAATTAAGCTCAAAACTTTCATATTATCTTCGTCCTTCTTCTGTGTTCCAGTGGATACTTAAGTTTTACAGTGGTATAACAGCTTTTTACACTAGTTCACCGTTTTCTGTGATTATTGAAATATAACAATAAACGATATTATTTAGAAATGAAATGATTCACTTGTAATTTTACTGAATAAAAAATAAATAAATGAGAGATTTCATTTTATAATGAGTTATTTTGAGAATACTATTTTAAACTAGAGAGAAATAAACATTGTGAATAACAATCTTAACTTATAATAATCTTAACTTATAATCAATGTTTCCAACAAGAGAAAACAACGGGTTTTTGTCATTATTATTTTGATGCTACTTAATCATTATAAAGGATTTCTGGTGAAAATAAAATTACTACTTAGATAAGGACTAAAATTATTTTAAAGATAACATTCTTCAATAGTAAACTGATTTGTAATACTTCATGCCATAAATCAATAAACCACAAAACGTATACCTATAATGATTAGGATACATGAAATGGTGAGTTGGATATGGTATTTCCGCTATTAATAATATTGTCGAAAGCTATATTCGCAATGTTATATTTTTGCTGTTTTCTAGACAGAGCTGCAAATAATTATTATGACACTACATATAGAAAGTTCATAATAGTAGTCCTAAAATACCTAGAAAGTTCATGGTAATGTAATAATCTAGACATTTCGTGGAGCATTTGGATAAACCTTTCCAAATATTACGCAAATTCGGCTCATGTCTCTTTTTCCATCCAAACACTTTTCTAGAACCTTGCTCTAGATACTGCGTTCTAGTGTGTTACTTCTAACATGTTGGATAAGGTAGCTACCAATCCTTGATAGTTGTAACGGCTCTCAGCTGGAAGGTTACTAAATGTCGCTAAAGCTTGCCCTTTTAATTAAATGGATAACAAGGTGACTAACTTGTTGTTCACTGTTCCACCTGTTCACTTTGGAGATTATTTCGAAATGGATCTTTTATGCCTCCCATGCTAATTTCCATCGCAGTCCATTGGTTTCTCGACTGGACGGTGTTGTTGAAGTAGCTAGATTAATACTGGAACTGGATTTGGTGGAAGCATAGATAGAATAGTCAAGGAAAGTCCTGCAACCACAGATAGCATAACAGTGGTGGTGGTAACAGGTGTAGTCTAAAAATAAGTTATTTTATTCCATATTTAATAGTAACTGGCGTTTTAAGTTGGAATTCATGCGAAGGTGTGTAAAGAGATATGGCTGGTTTTATCTTTGCATTTACCAATTAATTTTTCCAAATACCTCATTCTGTCATTGATATCATTTACTACCTCATTGATCTTGGTGGTATAGTCATTCTGTACTTCTTCAATTTTGTCAGTACAGCCTTTCTATAATTCGTCGATGTCTTTTTGTATTTCTTCAACATGATTTTTGTAATCCCTCTATACATCTCCAATACCTTCATTGATATTGTCTTCAATCAGATTTATTATTGTTATTACTTTTTTTTTAAATATAATGTCTCTCTATTTTTAAATTTCAGTTAAATTCCCATGTCTTATCTCTTGATCTTCTTCTAATTTTCAATAAATTTCTTTTTGATATTCTTTTAAGTTTCTGTTTCTATCTTCTTGACTTTCTGTTTTGTTCTTCTCATTTTCTTTTTTTTTTCCTTTTTGGTAGATTATTTTAATGTTCTCTATCTTTCCTATTTGTTTTGTAAACAAGTGGGTTGGTGAAGGCCAATCGTTTGGGTTTGATATTTCACAATTCAAAAATGAATTTATTTAAAATTCCAGGAAGATAGTCGTGTGTGTAGCTGAGTGATCACACAAGCCACCAACTCGAGGAATTTACGTGTGAACAAAGAAATGACTGAGACACTGATCATACAAACAGCATACAATACTTTATACTATATCCATATCCAAAACATTTAAATATTCATTGACACCGAAATTGTTTTAGAATAATTCTGCATCAAGTATCAAATTCTCCATTTTGTTCATGCAATTGTTGATTGAGTAAACCCACTATGAGATTTATTAGTTCTGATACAATATGGAACAAATTATCAACTAAGCTGTTATATGAGATATATTCAGACATACTTCAGTTTAATTTAGCAATCTTACTTGAAACATCATATACTATACATTGTTTGACTAGAGAGGATGGCATTTGACATTTACAGAGATTTTTTTCTGTTGAAGACTGTGAAATGGTTGCAAAACTGCTATCTCCGTGTTACTGGTATACAGTAGTCTTTCATCTGCATGCTTTGGAGGGAGCTGGTGTAGGTTTTTCTGATCTCAAGAAACGCCGGGGAGAACTGGTTCTGGGCCCAAAAATATGACGTTTTGTACATAATTTCATGTGTTATTACAATATATCAAGTAGCATCGCAGGTTCAGTCCACAAGTAGGTCCTACATTGAATTGGCTTAATTTTGCTGACTACTTGAACCCAAACCAAAACTGGACACTAATTGGATATGGTTAGAAGTTATTAAACGGCTGCCTATTTACATGTATATCTCATTCTTGTTTATCAATTAATTTCTGTAGTTAGCGAAGTTATTATAAACTTTTTCTGCAGCCTTTCTCTCTGTTATGATTGCTTCTGTTTGTATGGATAAGAAGAACTGCCTGATGTCGTCGTAATTCGTTGTTTTGCCTCAATCAACTTGTATATGTTACATTAATATAAACACTTCCTTATTTGGACAAAGGTCCTTACAAAGCTTCTATTATACGGTCGTTAATTTGCATATCCTTGTTGCAACTGACAGCTATGTATGGCATACATAGCAACTTAAATTTTCTCTTAAATTTCGATAAAATGCCTCAAATGCTTTAGTTTGTTTTAAAGCAAAACCACCTTAGGCTATTTGCTATGCCCAGTGCTTGGAATCTAACTCCATATTTTAGTGTTGTAAGTTCGTAAACTTACTGTTGTCCCACTGGAAAAGTCTGGAAGTCTCTTTCTGCTTCTGAAGTTCATAACACATAAGGAAAACAAATTAATTTGTTTCTTCTATAATGTTTGCTACAGGTTACGTTCACTCTGACACAAACTGTAGACCTAAGTTCTCAGCCACATTTCTGCAGTAAGTTCTTCCTACTGGTACCTAACCTAAGTTACTTAGTTTGATCAATAACAAATGGATAAATCACCAAATAACTGAATAGCAGAATAGGTGCAATAACTCTCACTGTCTAACACTGTGCTGAAACACCCAGTGAATACTAATTTTTTTCTTATTACTCATTAATTGTATTTATAATGTACCATTGTTTCTAGATATTTTACAAAGCTCCTTCATCCTTAACTTTCATGAATATTCTAGGTGTTGCATCATCATAGTCATCATGATTAGCACACCTCCTCTAGCAAAGAAACATTTAAACAAAAAAAAAACATCAATACATTGCTTAAAATGATGTCCCCTTCCTGGATTGTCAAGTCCCTTTAGGGTTATGGTATACAGATCAAATGACTTCATGTCTCTTTTTGTCACACTTACTTTCCTGTCACTGAGGGAGTTCTCTCTGGATAGGTGACTGAGTGAGTCTATCGGTTGCTCTATCCTTCGTGTTTCTCTGAAAGTGGTCTCAACAAGGATACTGTGACTTTCAGCTGGTTGCTTTCCCACTGATGTCT